CGAGCATGCCCTACTCGTTTCTTTTCGAGTAGAAGCTAAAGACGACAAGACACAAATCAGGTTCTGTCCTAATGACAACAAGTGTTGTGGCGTAAGCTAATTACGCTACCTGAGTTCTTCAAATGACAGCCAATAAGGAAAAGCTACAGGAGAGTAGCAAAAGAATTAAAGCTTGTGAGGGAATCACTACAAAATTCGTGGAAAAACAAGAAAAGAAAGAAGAATGAAAGATCATTTCACATATGAATATACATAAAACGTTTTGGAATTGAGTAAAAAAGAGGTTAGAGATTACCTTGATGGAAGGCCTCCAAACAACGAAAAAGTCAAATCTATGATTCACTCTAACATTAACATAGCGCCAGAATTGTTAAACTAAAGCACATTATACTGATGAAAAACCGAAACGGAATGCCGTTTAATCAAGTTCCAAACCAATTTCGTTTCAGTGACTGGTGTGTTGCACCTACATCGTCTCATTGAAATTCTGTTGAGTTCATTAGTTATTTTTTCTCATTCTGAAGAAAATTTTAAAAGAAAGATACCACCTGACGTAGGATAAAAATAAAAAGGATGCAGTACTGATAATCACTTGCATGATGAAGAATTACACGCTACCACATCTCTTCCGATGAGGGCGAAATCGATTAAGAAACACGGCACCTTGCAGTGTTGATTCTACGGAAGAAGATTTGGACATTGGAAGAAATTTTTCTAGCTATCAAACCGACACGGTTATTTATCCACAATATTCGCGATAATAAATATATTACGGTAGAGAAGACAATCCAGGTACTAAATTTTACTTAAAATTTACTAAAAGAAGTGCACTGGAATTGAGAATCAGTGGGGAAAAGATGACAATGACATCTCTACGAGTACATTTTGAATATTTTCACTTTTTATGCTAATAAAACTAAAATCTTGACAGGAGGTACCATTCGTCGAAAACTGCTCGAATTGAAGGAAATCGTTAGTAATAAAGAGATGAACATGATCGTTCGCTGCCTATGAGTTCCCATTATCCAAACCAACCACATTTTATCCAGCTGCCTTTACCATTTGTCAGTTGCGTTGCCGTGATAACTAGTACTCATCTTTATGAAGAGCTGGACTTCAATAAAAAAAAAAGAGAATCCCTCCAAATTTCTCTCAGTCAGCAAGGTCAGTCTAATCACTTTTACATCTAGAACATTCGCAGTAAAGGGAATTTAATATTTTAAAAACATTCACGAGAACGACTAAAAGTCAGAAGTTCGAAGTTGTTCGAATGAAAACTGTCAATCGGATTCATGATCACAAGTGTGCGATAAATGTTGTGGCACGCATTATAGCTAAATGAAGTGTTTGGCCCCTCATAGTGGTCTCAAGATCTCCGAAAAACAGCGCAAATACAACACTTTGAATTAGCAAAGCGCGCTTAACCGGCAGATTCTGATCCTAAGTAAACCAAACAGCTGCGATGCTGCAAGACAGAAATTTGCGATCGCCATGATGAAAGCACAGAGATCGAGGAGAAGATGATAAGAAGGAAAAAAGAGCAACAACGGCGCATTCACTTTACCATTCACTGAGTAGTGGTTGAATAGATCTCAATGAATGGAGTTCCCCTCCGAACTGTTCATACTTGCTTGCAATATTAATAAGTGCGTAATTTATAAATTTGAGCTCTTCAGAGACGTGGTAAAAGAAAACAACACAATAGGATTTTCGAAAAGGGAATGAGTAGATAATTTCCAGGAAAACGGCTGGCATGCGAATGGTAACCATATTGGCGACAATGGACTGTCAGTCTGATAATTAAAGACTTGCCCGAACATTCGACCTTGCCATTGAAGACAGAGCATCCCGCAGAGAGAAACATGAACACATATAAGTAAAACCGTACTGCCAAAAGAGAAAGGTCGAAGAAAATACAAAGATTGTTTTGCTGTAAACTGAACATAAATTCATGATAGGATTTCAATCAAGGGCTCAACCCGAACACACAACGAGAAGAAATCTGTTGAGAAACTGCACCCAGAACTGTCAAGCGCTTTCGTCGACAAGGCTAAAGGAAAATAAGTCACTGGTTTACATTAGATCATATTTTATCACAGGTAAACGTGGCTCAAAACCATTAAAACAGTACTACCACATTCATGACGACGTGCTTTTATCGCTTTTTGTTCGGATGGAGCGAGCGCGATTTTGGGAGCACAGCCAACTCACATCTTGTGGAACTCGTGTAATGAATAAAGAAAAACATGAATATTTCAAAATGACTCCAACTGCTCCACACGTAGGAGTGATAAGAGGTGTGGGATTATAGTGTAATTTCGATTTGAAAGACTTGTAATTGTAATAAAACGTGAAATTTATAAACACTCGGTACAGTGGACATCAAAAGTATTATCACCAGTATTATTTCAGCAGAAACACATACCTTACCATTCATAGATCTTGTATTTACCTCTGGTACTTTTTTCATGGGAATACGAAGAAAAAGAAAAGAAGAGTCAACCAAATCAAATGTTTAGATTTATATAATAATTCCAATAATTTTACTGAAAACGAAAACACCTTACAAAAGTATGATAACCAGTGAATGGTGGGCAAGTAATTGCTGGGCTGTCATCAGCGCGAGTGTGCTAACAGAGCCAAACGGTAAGTGTCAGATCAGCCTTTTAGTAAGGATTCGCTTTTAATAGACATCTTTATACCCCGCGCATTCAGTGTATTCGACGTGTCGAACAACTCTTACCTAGACGCTGCAAGTATTACATATGTTACTTGGGCGCAATGTGGCTTCGGGGGGGGGGGAGCCTGAAACTTGACGTCAGATTCACGGATACTAAGCTTTGGAGGAGAAGAGGGAATCCGAGCTGCGTAAGCAATTTTCATTCGCTCCGGAACTCGTCCCTCTGCGTTAGGCTTCATTCTAGTGGCCTTCCGACAGGCTGCCCACTCCCCCCCCCCCCCAAGGCACAATGCCGCCGTTACTTGTAATTCATACAGTAACAACCAAAATAATAAAAAGAAGAAAGATCTTAGATAAAAGTTAAAAAAATTGTAATAGGAGCTCATATAACTTAGTTCACACATTTTCAATAAACGTACATGGATTTCCTTCACACTACTTTACACAATGGATCAACAATGTGGCAAAAAGCTATGACTTCCAGATAAATTTTAACAGAACAGCTTGTCAGGTTAAACACACTCCGAAAAACCCACCTTTTTGGTAGCGCATCTTCTTGAATTTGGTGGTGGGAGAGACAGCGAAACTAGCCATCTATCGCAGAATAGTCATAGTCCACTTACAAAATCCTGAAAACAAAAGTAAATAAAATACTCAGCTACTGCAAAACTTTTAGAAGTCCTTCTGGACTCCGAAATGAGAAACGTTCTCTTCAGGTAGAAATGAAGCATCAAGGGAAAGGGAGGGGGAGGGGCCACTATTATTCTGAACCTTTATGGGCTTCGTACTAAAGAGCCGTGTATCTGTAGTTTACCGCCACGAAGGTTGTCGAAAAAACAGCGGCAGACTGAAGACTGAAGCGCAACGAACAAGCGCGACGCGAGGTTTCGCTCCACCCTCCCCCCCCTAATTAAGTTAGTACTAGTGAAATTCGGTGGTAAGACGACAAAAGGCCAACAAGAAAAATCCAGAATTCATTAAACCCACTTTGAACGATTTTACGATTTGAACTATTGTACGATTTGGCGTAAAGTTCAGCACATGGGTGCAACTTGAATCAAAACGCTGTGATCTACGGATAAGAATGGAGACTGTTTGCGCATTCTATTCCAATTACACGCGACACAATATACTACACGATCATATCAAATTTCAGCGTCCAGCTCGGATCCATGAGGCCAGGAAGTGCCCAACGCGATCGAGTGAAGTCGAGAGGGTCGTGTATTGCTCCCCGAGACGGCTTTATGCTACTTAATGGAGCTTACTACTTTTTCTTCGAGGCGCAGATTATGGTCGGCTTTAGTCTCAGCGTGTTTGGCTTTTCCAAGGTACGAAACTGGCAGATCGTATACTAGAATATGGGGACGCCCCCCCGCCCCCCCCCCACGCAACCACTTGGGGGTCGATGTACGAAGCTGGCTGCCATGTGAACAGTTACAAACTTTTTCTTATCACTTTTGTCACCTTCGAAAATTTCGGATGCAAATGGCGTTCATTTTTTCGGGGTAAACATGAGTCACTTGCTACATGGCGCATATTCATCTGAATTTCTCACTATATTTTGTGCCGGGAAATTCTATCGGGTAGCGTCTGGTCTGGGAGGAATTTTTATATTTTCCATATGGAAGCAGCAAGCAAGTGAGACTTGATCCACGGGGAGGGACATGACATTCTGCAAATCGGCCATTGCTGAAATTTTTGGTCAAACGGAAGTCTAGGGCTCTCAATTTCCCGGGTAGGCAGTGAGGGGTCGAAGTACGCGACCAGTTTTATTCCAGCGTGCTTTGGATATGGTATTTGGGTGTTTGTTTTCACCGAAATCCTTCACAGAAGTCGACGATGGCACCCAGTCGTTCGTCTCCTTCGATCCGATGGCTGGTGAGGATCACGTTAGCGTACCTGTCATACACGGATCTGATCCAATGATTGCTTCACTGGGATGCAGAAAACATTCTTCGTTACGTGGGTCATCCATTCATTCATGATTCTCTCTGTTGTTTTCAAAGTTAACTTCAAGTCATATATAGAAATGTAAATGTAAAGCAATTTCATATTGATCAAGTGTCCAATACTTATACTGCATCGCCTGGAAGATACGGAGGAGGTGCCAGACAAAGAACAGAAACACTCAGTAGTCGGGAATTGCCATTGAGAGTATGGTCGAGCCACGGTAATTTTGTTGACGAGCTCGTGGAGAATAATGTCGTCTCGTCCACGATAATAGATCACACTTAATTCAGTATTAGCAATGCTCCCAGTCCAGAATGGAGCTCTCCTTAAAAGGAATGCAGGACAACGACTCGGGCAAATATAAGTGGTAATGTCGAATTTTCCATCGACACTTCCGGTGACATACACAGCTTCCGAAAAGGCCGAGCCTTCAGAACCAACAATTGTTGTAGAGGTATGTATAACCTCTCGTCGACTTGAACATATTCTTTCATGTTTGCGGGTATTGTGTAGAAAGTAATGGGTAGAACGATGCTGATTTAGGATGATCAAACACTGAGATATGACAATAGATTCTCTTCAAGAAGAGGAAATACGTCGAATTGAAGAGGCTGCTAACAGTCTAGCTGATGGCTTGGAATTACCACGCGCATCTGAGCTTCCTACTTCTTCTATTGATGGCGATTGTTGTGAGTCATTTTTCAATTAGCGTTCATCTAATTCGATTGCTGGATTTTCCTCTTATGAGATGAGAATCGTTTTCGCATTCGTGGGTTGGCTTCGCTATTCTTACCCTATAAGGAGTTTTGAAAGCAGTCTTTACCACATTCTCAGATGCTCTCCCAGTTAGTGGTCTGGAAAGCCTTACCAAAGGAGGGGGAACGACTAATAATAAGAGGGTAGGAGACGATTCATTGCACTCCACAGCTCACTTATATTATTATATTTATTTTAGAAGACCCTCCTGCTTCAAATATCACTCACTCAACCTAAGCTAGATCCTCTGCAGAACTCAGTTACAATGCGCTCGCTCTCTGTCTAAACCAAGGGGTCGAGCGAATAGCTGGGGAAGCATGACTCTCTCTCGCGATGTTCTCGAGTGTGAGATTAAGCTTTTGATGGAGATAAGAAAGCAAAGATGCCTGTGTAGTCTACGCGGAGTTGGCTTCCTCAGGCGATACTACAAATCGTCTGAACAAGCGCAAACCTTGGGCCAGTGTTTGACAGATAGCCTGAGACACCTGAAACCTGTGCGAACACGGACCGCCTTGTTGGGGGTTCTTTGGTCATGGATCAAGCATTGCAGTGACCGTTGTGTCAGTGGTGATAGATCGCTCCTCTCACTATACAAGCAAGTTACATTCTAGGACAAAAAAAAACTGATTCTTATTTATGAAGACAATCCCTGCCTCCAACACTGATTCCTGCAAGAAAGGGTTCCTTTGTTGTTCGTCTCCACCTTAGTCGCGCTACAGAAATTGCCGATGTCACACTCGGCATTATAATAGATTCATGAGGCTCATATGGCGTGACATTAGTTCATATAGTCCTACTGGAAATGCAGGGAATCACTAGGGTTAGACCTTTCCTCATTGATTTTAGTCGAATAATAGATTTTGTTCATGGTTAAATTGATTGAATCATGAACTGTTACTGGCTGTTGTCTAACTTGCTTATGTCTCTATGCTTAGCGGCGTAGTTAGTTGCGTGTGATTCAAGTAATTCATCTGGTGGAATCGTACCCTACACTTTGTACCTTTTTGTGTGCAACAGATATATTCTGCTGACTGCAAATGCTTCTTTGCTGTGCTCTTTAGTACTATGACGAAATTGGACGGCGGCGGCGATTGCGACGGCTCTCGAAATTCTGACCTGTTCCGTATAGGTGGGGAGGAGCAGGGCTGTTGTAGATAGACATGTACCGAGAATTCCTACACGAGGGGCTTTATCCTTCTGTTCGTCTTCTCAAACAACTTTCTCACGCTCTCTCCATTCCTCTTAGTTAGGTGAATAGAGCCGCTGCAGGCTTTGTTTTGCTTAGGTATGATGTCTGAGGCGCAGTCAGTCGAGGTGCTTCGCGTCAACCCACAACACACGCCAAAGATGCGCGACTGGCAAACTGCGTATAACACGGGTGAAGTTGGCCTATGAGTCCGATAAGCAATTGATTCGCAAATTAGACGCGATCGGGGGCGAGCGCAGGGCAATTTCAAACTATCACTTACCCGTCACTTCTTCAATTGAGATCAATACCCGCTGTATACGTCATCTGTTACGGATCAGCTGATCCACAGTCGTCTCAGGCGTTCTATTCACGTGCCGTCGCTGTATCTGAAATGAGAGCGCGAGCCGAGACGCGGAGAATGAATAAGTAAGGGGGGGTCAGGATGCTGTAGTGTCGACGCCCGTAGCGTTTAGAGCGACCGCTCATCTCATCATATTCCCTGCAGCAATTCGACGAAGATTGTTGAAGCACGTCGTAGCCCTTCTGAAGGCTGCTGTGGCTATACACGCTTTTTTGCTGACTGTATTAGTACGGGTTTGGAAAACCATTGGAGAATTTATTTCTTTCGTAAGTGCTCAACGATTTTCTTATATCTATCCTACTGTACTTGAGTAGAGTTTTACTTTCTGAAAATATTCAATACACCATAGTCTAACGTCATTCACTTTCTTCCTTACTGGCAACTGAAGAGTTCCTTTGCGGCGTGCAGTCAGTCCGTGCTATGCGCTCTAATGAAGCATTTGAATTCAGTATTTTATCATATCTTTGAGTCCAGGCATCAAGGATTATACGAAGTTATACGACAGGCGTAACGCCGACCGTTCTCCTTGACGAATCAATGATTCCGCTTGTTGGAACACCTCATCCTATGGCTTACATCCCAATGGAGGACGTGTTTACGTTTGTCGATCGTCGTTCTAATCAGGAGCTCCCTGCGATCACAGAGGAGATCGAGGTTTCAAATGTTTCCATAGTTTATGTTTACATTGTCTCTTTTTGTAGATTCTCAGTTTTTAGTCAAATTTCATAATTCAAATGTACCACAACAGCTAACTTATCTTCTCTTAGGCACTCATACCCTCCGAGCGAATCGGACGGTACACTAGATAGTTCATTTATTTGGAGCGGCCGTAACATAGACTCCCTGTCGAACTCATCCATTCTAGCGTAAGCCTTCGTGACAGGATAGCAAACTAATCCACGCTAAAACCGCTATACTATAGAAGCGCCTTCGGACGGCACAAATAAGTTAGACTATGCGACGCTGGAAGTATCCGCACGTGATGTCCGTATAAGAAATTTCCCGGCGAGGCCCATGTAACTCACGAGCGTGACCGCGTGTTTCGCAAAAAAAATTTACTGCGTGAGTCACTTAGTCACAATCGCACTAAAGGTACCCTTGATGAGTGTATTCAGTCTATGGACAGGGGATTGTTGGACGGCATGCACCACCGTGATTAGTGCTCGTCACCTGTGCTTGCTTACTGGAATGTTTACTTCGTGCTGGTTAGATTTAATGACGAGCCGTCTTTAGAAGCGCTAAGACTTTTTCGTCTCTTGCTCTGAATTGTGTAGAAAGCCCCTACGTTAATATATGGATTTTTTGATTTAGAAACGAATGCAATTGCGACTTTTGATTCAATAATGCAATTAAGCCCATTGCGGTTTTTGGGATTCTCGCGACAGAGCTGCTTAATCTAATTCTTGTTTGTCTGATATGGTGACTATGACCGCAGTGAGCTACTTACTGTTACTTTGGACCACTTTGGATAGGAAAACTATGAAAGGCATGATAGCTGACAATACTAATGAGGCCTGAGGAAGTGGATTTATATACTATACGCATGGTTCACTATGATAATACATTTGGCTGAATATGCTTCTTGTGCCTTAGACAAACTTCGTATTATAACCCATTTTTACGGCATGTTCTTAGCTCAAGAGGTGCAATCGGATCGTCTCCTTCTGCTCTCTACGTTCTTTCTCATAGTTTCGCCGTATTGTCTCTCTATTTTTAGGCGTCTCAGGGCAATTTTGAAGTGAGAAGGTCTTCGATTGGAAGCTATAAGGTGAGGATGGTTTACAGATAAGGTCCGACGCAGTGGTGTTTAGGAACTAGTGATCAGCTTTTGTATCAGCTCTTTGTAAGGAGTGGGGGTGGAGGGGGGCGGTGTGCCAGGGGGGTGCGGGTGAGGAATTAGATAGGGACCGCCAACTAGTTTTAGGTCAAATATCCTCGGAGCCTTACCATGTCCACGCGTCTCGGTACTCTCGTTATCTAGTTGCGCTCACGTGTCCGCCTGAGTCACACGAGCAGATTATTGCAAATTATCGGGCCATGTCAGGAGGGTCAAGCGTGCTTTGAGGAATCCTCGAAGAAGAAATCTTATCAAGTCCAGTGGGAGAGAGGCGGGTCGAAAGCCGGGATTATTAATATCCAGAGCAGCGGTAGTCTGTTTGGGAGGGGATGGGAACCGCGACTCATGCCCGATCGAGTGCACGGCGCGTCCCTGAGCGGTTTCGAGCGACATCATGCGCTTCAATTCTCGTTCACTGCAATGGAGATGGGAGTTTGAGAGCCATCAAGATTTTCCCGGAAGGGGCTGTTTAAGATGGCAAAGTAGAATTCAATACTCAAGTAATTTATTTTCGGCGTCAACTCCATAAATATAATTATTTAATGTCGAACCTTCCAGTACACTTCAAACTTATTAAAAACAGAAACCGTTGAATTCTTGAGTTGTTTTCTTATTTGTACAAAATTATCTGCGAACGAAACAATGTTACAGTAAGAAGGGAAGAAATTCCGTCAAGAAAACGCAAAACGGGACCCCCTTTTTGGCCGTTGGTTTTCACTCATGAACAGGTAACAGCTCAGAAAGTGGACGTATGAACGAGTTCACCGCAACGCGTTTGATGGCACCATGCCAAACCACGCTTTTAATCGAGATGCTCCATTTGCGCCGCTGCTTGCCACACAGCTCGTCCAAAGATTTGACCATTCTGTGAGACACGTGGATCATGATTATGGTAATGCAGGGCTTATAGGACGAATACAAAAAAACCGTCGGAAGAAGTTATGCAGGCGCGAAAAAATGAATACGATCAGCGTGGCACACCTAGTTGCCACATTGTTCGGTGGGGTGCGAAAATGGCGGCATAGATAGTTGCCGCACTATCGTCAAGGTGTTAACTCAAGATGAGAAGACTTTTCTCTTCGCCATTAGTTTCAGGTGACATCAAGTCAGGTAATTATCGGGCTACAAATAGTCTATTAGCGTAAAAGGCACCAACAAACCTCGTAGTAATGGAAAGGAAGTTCAAGGCCCTAAAGGTAAGTGCTACGCTCTAGCCCACTTGTATTAATGTTGCCAGTGCGTTTCAGCAATGTCCACGCTGAAACCTTAGACTCGGCTGCTTTCTATCCATGGATCTGGTGCCGCGGAATCAGTGTTGGTCACAAATTATTATACAGGGTTGGCCAAAATTATGAGGACCAAGACATTATGCCGTTAAAAACGCATTGCGGTTTGATGGAACAAACAAACTTCAGGAGAGCGTTTGTTACTATTATCCCCTCTATCCCCTCTATATATAAAGCAGTAGTTTGGTGTGTTTGTTTGTCCAGCATTCTATGGCTTCCCTGGTTAGATTGGAGAGAATAGTTGGTATAGTCTCAGAAGAAAGAATTTCAGGAAAATTCTCACACTTGTTATGAAGTACTCTTCGAGTGATTCAACAGTCTTTACCGCTTCTCATCACATTAATTTTGAAGGAAGTTATGGGCCTTTGAAGACTGCATAGTCGCGGTCCAGGAAAATGGCTTGAAAAAAATCAAGGTGGAAAAAACGGAACAACGGGACTATTTTTTGAGCGAGTGATTATTTAAAAGTTTTAGCACTTATTCGAAAGCTCTAATCTTCTAGTTTCTAATTAGCCTTAGACATCTGCAAAAAGTTGATTATGAAGAAAGTTATGAACGTTTGAATGTCGAAAACTCGCGCCTTCTCAAAAATCGGACCACAAACCCCCCAAAACGGAACAACGGGACTATTTTTTGAAAGAATGATCGCTGGAAAATCAGGTGCTTGTTTGAAAGCGCTAATCTTCTAGTTTCTAATTAGCCTTAGACATCTGCAAAAAGTTGATATGAAGAAAGTTATGAATGTTTGAATGTCGAAAACTCGCGTGTGCACAAAAAACGGAACAACGGGACGATTTTTTGAAATATTGAACATCGCAACATTTCAAATACTTTTTAAAGAAAACTATTTGATTTTTAAAATTTTGGTGTCCGGTTCCATGAGACCGCTTCTGAAAAAAATATAACCTTCTGAATGGAGGGGTTTGGATTGCAACGTAATTGCTACAAGGTTTAGTTTTTCAGATTATAAAAGTAAGGAAAATTGAGAGATCGAAAAAAACTTGGTAGGTTTCTGAAAGTAGAAATCTTTACGATTAAAATGATGTATTGGTTTACGCAAAAATTTGGAAATTCCTTCTATTTAATGAATAAAACTTCATTTGCCTCGATTCCCTCCTCTGAGCGAGACAAAGCGCGCGGATTGACCACGGTCCACCACTTCTCCATGTTGGTGACTGCCCACACATCAATGATGAGCATTAAATTATGTGAAAGACATAATAGTTAATATGGGGGGTCGTACCGATACCCTCCGAAAAGGAAGGGGGTCGTAAAAATTTTGGAATTTGCGCAACGCAGGGTTGACCCTGGTGGGGAGTTGCCCTGAGGGCGTTTGCAGTTGAGGGCAAGGCTTGGCTCGGAGGGGTACGGTGGTGGGCGGGTCCGACCTGAGGGGCGGGCTTGCGCCAAAATCTGCAAAGAATGTCGATTATGCACGCACAAGGCTCGAAGGAGGTTGGGAACAAAAGTATTGTTGGGATCGATATCGATAATAACAGTATCGATCGATATCGATTAAGAATATCGGTTTTTGCGCAGAGGGCTCGAATTGAGTTGGGAATCGTAGATTTGATTGGGTGCTGCAGTGAAAATGGATTTACGGTAATTCTGAGCTAGGAGAACAAACGAAGACGTGGCATGGTGTCTCTGGAGGTCTACACGGATGATGCTTATGTGTAATGCCTGCTGTACGTTTCGATGAAAATGCAAGCCTTACTGCGAGCGATGCTTCCAAATAGCGTTCGGTTCAGTTCTCCTACCCTGATTGATTAAGATTGAAAGCAGCCAAGACTGAAATTTTGGAGAACAACCGCTCTGGGAAACTGAAAATTTCCATTGTTTCCTTAAAATTGTAATCCGTATAAGAAAAAAATCAGTTTATCGGATTGGATGTCGATATATAAGTGCGTAGAAAGATGGTAAGCGGCCATTTAAGCAAGACTTCATCTCCGGCACAGTTCATCCGCTCCATCTGCCATGAGCGATGAAGAGGAGGACGATCTTGGAATTAAGCCGGTTCGTGTCAAAGTTCTGTTTATCTACGAAAGCGTAGGTTCTCCGAATTTCTTTGGTGTTCTGAGATCCACGTGTGAGCGTGGTCCTTTTACCCTCGAGTTGGATTCAAAATCTGAGCGTAACTGTTTTTTGAAGGGAACTGTGATCGACTCCAGCAAAGCGAATTATGTCGTCATTAAACTGCTCGGTGAAGGTGGCTTTGGTGCAGTGTTCAAGTGAGTAGATTGAGGATGTTGCAGAATAGCTACTTAAGCGCTTATGTCCTCAAAGGGGACATTCAAAACAGAACCGATGGTAGGTGAGACTCAGACTAGGCCCAGCAAAGGGGAAAACACAAATAGCTAACATGTTCACCCAGAATCCTTACCCTCCCTAACGCTTAGCTTTAAAGGCATGCCCCAGGATCACATTGGTGTGGCTCTTGCACACGAATGCGAATGTATTGGTGCGAAATGGGCCGGCAGTAAAGAAAAAAGGAAAAGAATCCGTCGAAAACGCTCAGGTTAAGGGCTCACTCACCTTCCTAATCGGCTGTGCTAAGGGAATGAGAGACTAAGCGCGGAGAGGAGAGTATGAGGCGAGAGAGCGCTACAGATGAGAGAGCGCCAGACAACAGCCTGATAAGAGAAAAATCTGCAGCTTCAGCAGCTTACTTTGCAAGGCCCAAGCGCTCTTGTCGGTTGGTTTCCGTGCACGGGAACGCCACATTTGTGATTGTCCTCTAGGGGTCTATACTACAGACCGAAGGGAAGCGTTCACACGACCTCTGCCTGGGTTGTGCCTTTGAGCCCAGAAATTGGCTCACTCACTTGAATGTCCCCCCCCCCAAAGGACATGGGCGCCATTACTTAAAGTGACGGATCTTTAGATTATTCTCTGGTAGCGTCTTAGCTGGGCTTGTATCCTATGTACTTCACAACTTTTCGGTTACTCGCTGGAACATTACTGGATCAATGACTCATGGCGACTTTGAAGGGTCAACTATTCTCCAAGCAATACTGAAAAGAGTAGTTTGATGATTGGCCCAACACTCGCATGGACTTAGTATGTGGAGTGACATTTGTAGGTGAAGAGCATCAACGCACAACCGTCCTAGTGCAAAAAGTGTTTTAAATTGAATACAAAATCTTACTGTGTATGATTCGCTGGTATAATCCATATCTCGAAGCCTGATTATGGAGCGTTCATAGTTGGCGATCGTACGTGCGATTAAGCGATTAGGCGATGATTAAAAAAAAGCTACGTAGCGATTAGGCGAGTAGGCGAGTAGGCGATAAGAAGAAGGATACGTATTGATTTGTTGCTCCGCCATTGAGCGATCGCCTAATCGCCTAATCGCCTACTCGCCTACTCGCCTACTCGCCTACAACGTGCTATGGGCGGAGCAAACCAATCAATACGTATGTTGTCTTCCCCGCCTAATCGCACTCGCCTATCGCCTAATCTATACATATATTTTTCATTATAGACTAATCGCCTAATCGCATAATCGCACGTGATCGCCAACTCTGAACACTCCATTAGGCGTAGCTATGAGTTTGACGTGGCGGCCGAGAGAAGTTGCGCGGTGAGCTGCTCCCGGCATGCTTTGCTGATATAAGCAGGTATGTTAGAGGCAGCTTATCCGCACGGCTTCTACCAAGTGCGATTACGGCTACGAAAAATCCATAGACACACCTATTCTGACTCCCAGATACGGACTGGTATGTCAGTGCGTGTGAATGCGCGTATCGCACGAAATCCGTAGCGCAGCCGTCGTCAGTTGTGATCGAGATTTGGTGTAAGGGTGGCATGTGAATATTTTCGATGAGTGACAAGGCGTGATAATAACTGATAACTACTGATAAGGGTCGCTAGGGCGCAAGTCGCAAAATTCATAGGGCATGCCCACCAGCGATGGGGCGTTGCTTCCCAGATATGATGTTGAAGTTGAGACGGGAAATATTCGGTGGGTGACAAAAACTGATAACAGCTGATAATGACTATTAGGAGCGCTTAGCTCGAAAACTGAGGGATCAGTCGAGTTATTATTGAGATGTACAATAATAAAACACCAGTTTAGCTCCGCACGCAACCGCGCGCATCACATGGTAGGCTTTAGTGAAACTGGACAACTTGCTGAATATTAGGTCACGTGGCTGAGAAACTAACAGTAAGATGTTTGGAAGATGTGTCACATGAATTTCAAAGGTTGTCCAATTTTGCTGAAGATTGTCGCGTAATGCGCGCAGTAGCATGCGGAATGAAAATGGTACTTATCATGACTTCGTAAACATTTAGCATTGATATCGAGCTCGGATGATTTAGCGGTTTATAGAATTTCCACAATTGAAGAATCGGTGTGTAAGTGAAATATAACCAATCAATCAGCATCTAACCATGATGGAAATTGGAAATATGATGGAAATTCGCTATTGGTCCAAGTCCAGATAGTTGAGCAGCTCAACTTTCTTTGCTTCTTTAGATGAAAGGGTAGGAATGGAACATATTCACGTGCTAGGGACCTGGTTTAGTTCAACTGAGTGCACGCTCAACTGTCGCTACTTTTATCAGTACAGTTGCCGCTCATACCACTTTCTGTCACCTACATTCAACCCTCGCCACCTTGATCGCTTGCCAGTGATAATTGCAACGAAGTTGGAGAGACCTGCATTCAAACGCTCTTATCATTCCTTGTCATTTGTTATCAGTTCATACTGTTCGCAATCGGTGTCCCGGTCCCAACCTCCAGCAACGTGTAGGAGCTAATATTTACTGTCACCACGAAGGCTGCAACGAAATTAGCAGTACTCAAAATCCTAACTTCCTTATCAACCGTTATCGCTTGTTATCACTTCTGATCATCCGCTATCCGTGTTCCCGTCCCATCCCCTATACCACATGTGAGAGCCAAGGTTCCAATGTAACCGCAAGGGCCGCAACGAAACTGGTGGTATCCACACTTTGACGCTCCTTATCAGTTCTTATCAGTTGCTACCACATTCGTTCACTCAACTTCTTGGTCCCCGCCTCATCCCACATCCTACTATATATAATCGGCTAAGCGGTTGTGTGTGTGTGTCTGACCGGAAATTCATAACTTCACCCCCTTTGGACCCAGAGCGCTCAAACTTCTAGGATATATAGGGGGCCGGAGGTGAACACTGATGACGGGTGGCGGGAAGTGATAACTACTGATAGGAGCTGATAACGGACGTCGAAATGTTGATGTCACCAATTTCGTTGCACCGTTCGCGTTGACAGTGTGAGAGTTCGCAAATCCTTCTATTTTATAAAGCGCTAACTTTGTGTGTCGGTTTGTGTATCTGTATGTGTGTGTGTGTGTATGTATGTATGTGTGTCCGTCCGCAAAATGAAGTGAGTGAGAAGGAAGCTCATGGGATAAACAAACCGCTAACAAATCGGGTAGCTTACAGGATTTGAGATATCAATGTTTTGTAGCAGGATAGTTGTGATAACACTCTTAGGGCTATATAAACACCTGCTTAGCACACTTCCGTTCATTCCACATGGTGCTGCAGTGGCAGCTGGAGGGCAGTGGAGAGAGGAAGGGAGGATGAGGAAGGGAAGCGAAAAATCTACCGTCATATCATGATTGTGTCCCTTCTACTGTATGAAACACCATTGTGTTGCATACGCGTCACTTCCAGGAGGTGTTGGTGTCACAGGAGGAAGGGACCATAGCGGAGGATAGAAAGCTTGCGCAGGAAAGGAAGGTCCCGGCGGTTGACGGGGGACTAATCTGGTGTATGATATGTGGGGTGAGGCGGGGACCAAGAAGTTGAGTGAACGAATGTGGTAGCAACTGATAAGAACTGATAAGGGGCGTCAAAGTGTGGATACCACCAGTTTCGTTGCGGCCCTTGCGGTTACATTGGAACCTTGGCTCTCACATGTGGTATAGGGGATGGGACGGGAACACGGATAGTGGATGATCAAAAGTGATAACAAGCGATAACGGTTGATAAGGAAGTTAGGATTTTGAGTACTGCTAATTTCGTTGCAGCCTTCGTGGTGACAGTAAATATTAGCTCCTACACGTTGCCTGGAGGTTGGGACCGGGACACCGATTGCGAACAGTATGAACTGATAACAAATGACAAGGAATGATAAGAGCGTCTGAATGCAGGTCTCTCCAACTTCGTTGCAATTATCACTGGCAAGCGATCAAGGTGGCGAGGGTTGAATGTAGGTGACAGAAAGTGGTATGAGCGGCAACTGTACTGATAAAAGTAGCGACAGTTGAGCGTGCACTCAGTTGAACTAAACCAGGTCCCTAGCACGTGAATATGTTCCATTCCTACCCTTTCATCTAAAGAAGCAAAGAAAGTTGAGCTGCTCAACTTGGACCAATAGCGAATTTCCATTATATTTCCAATTTCCATCATAGCTCGGTTAGATTGATTGGTTATATTTCACTTACACACCGATTCTTCAATTGTGGAAATTCTATAAACCGCTAAATCATCCGAGCTCGATATCAATGCTAAATGTTTACGAAGTCATGATAAGTACCATTTTCATTCCGCATGCTACTGCGCGCATTACGCGACAATCTTCAGCAAAATTGGACAGCCTTTGAAATTCATGTGACACATCTTCCAAAACATCTTACTGTTAGTTTCTCAGCCACGTGACCTAATATTCAGCAAGTTGTCCAGTTTCACTAAAGCCTACCATGTGATGCGCGCGGTTGCGTGCGGAGCTAAACTGGTATCATACATAAGTGCAAACTCTCGAACGGTGCAACGGAATTGGTGACAACTACACTTTCGACGTCCGTTATCAGCTCCTATCAGTAGTTATCACCCGTCAGTGTTCACCTCCGGCCCCTATCCTAGAAGTTTGAGCGCTCTGGGTCCAAAGGGGGTGAAGTTATGAATTTCCGGTCAGACACACACACACCGCTTAGCCGATTATATATAGTAGGATTCTATTCTATGCGATGTTGGTCAGTATCGAAATGCAATGGGCCGCTAGTTTGCCCGACCTGTTTGAAGGCTTGCCCCAAGGATCACATTGGTGTGGCTCTTGCACACGAATGCGAATGTATGCGAAATGGGCCGGCAGTAAAGAAAAAAGGAAAAGAATCCGTCGAAAACGCTTAGGTTAAGGGCTCACCTTCCTAATCGGCTGTGCTAAGGGAATGAGAGACTAAGCGCGGAGAGGAGAGTATGAGGCGAGAGAGCGCTACAGATGAGAGAGCGCCAGACAA